TTTGCCTGGCGCGTATGCCGGCGAACGCTGAACAGTCGTGGGTACATAGCCCCTGGACTTGAGCTGATGAGGTAATCCGGATAAAAGTTCTTTTTGGCTTTGCTGCCAAAAAGAAAAAACATAGCGAACAGCAAATTCAAGGAAGAAGGATCGATGAATCGGACCCACCACTTTATTCCTGTGAACCTGGACTAGTACCGATCAGGGTAAGCCACATTTTAGATGGATTCGGCCAAAAGACCCTTCCCAGGTTTCAAAACAATCCTTCCCCAGTAGAGTCGCCTCTAATTACGTCCCACAGACCTACCCTCATTCTATTCTTACTTTTTCTTCCACCCCACCCGACAGTATGTGTGATATCTATGTCCTTCCTCCAAAAAATGTCCATTGATCGGAGACCACGTGATGTCAAAACAGGAAAAATACAAGAAAAAATACAAAATTTCGGTAAAATCAAAAAACAAATTCCACAAAACTTCGCCAAAACATCTCAAAGAATCGGACGAAACCTTTCAGAAAAAACCCTCCCTGATTGAGTCCTACAAAAACCCCTTCCCGGGAACACAGCGCATGATGTACGCTTCCCGCGAGAGTAAGTTACTCCGAATTCTTGTAAGTAAGGAATCCTTGACGCTACCAGCCGCTCTACAGCTCCACAACGTCTGTGGCTCTTCATACAAAGAGGTCATCTTGGCATAGCATGCGAGAAGCGCGATAAAAACCATAAAAACTTAGTCCAGAGAATCGCAGATTAGCAGATTTGGCGAGCAGACTAAGACGGCTCAATTGCAGAAAATTCCGGATCAATGGGGCTAGCGCACTGGGGTATCAGCGTGTATGAAATCCAAACCCTTCCGGTCGGTCCGATTCAAAAACCCTTACCGGCTTATGAGAATGTCTCAGTTCGGTCAGTTTGTCCCGGTCCGAATTCGAAACCTTTACCAGTTCATGGGGAAGAGAGGAAGGAGGGGAGGGGAGGGGGTGCTGCAAGTATAGCCGAAACAAAGATAAGAGTTTGACCGGAACCCGAGCGTCAGACTATCAAGTCAGAAAAGATCAACGCTCGCCTTGTTGACTTTCTGGACCTGATAATCCTGACTGGTGACTGTAAAGAAGACACTCTTGCAAAACATCTGAGAAAAAGTAAGCGTGTCAAGTACCGAAATCAATCAAAGAAACTTTCATAGCAGCACATCTGAAAATGTCAAATTATGGGCAAACCTAGAGAAGAGAAGAGAAAAAAACAAGACTAAAAAGCCCGCCCGGACAAAATCCCGTTCTCGAATCTGCCGTTCCGCATTAAATCATTGATCGCAATTTCCAATAAAAACAGTGAAAATTCTGAAATTTTGCAAAACCCACTAAATTTCAATAGGGATTCTTGGGAAATATGTATTAATCGGGAAAATCCTATACCTGGGACAACTATCTATATTTCTAGCGCGACCTCCACGAGCAAAAAATACTAATGGGGCTTATGTAAGCGATATTTGCAATAAAACATTATCTGATGGGAATCATGCGCACTGCAAAAACAATGTAGCGATTAACTGACACCCTACGACGTTGGCTCATTCTTACTCGCAACCTCAGGCTTGCTAAAGTAGTAATTTTTGATACCGTAAAGGAAGACTAGGCTCAAGTAGGAGAGTTCATTGCCTTAACAGATAAAGTTATCGCCTCCATCACGGCACTGAAATGGGAAAGCCTTTTCGTAAGTTATGGTAAAAGGGCGACCCAATGTGGAAGTCTTGTGCAAGATTCGCTTCGGTACGGCAAATCCCTTGCGTACAATCACAAATGTGGCAGTCCGTGCATGAAATCACCCGACAAGAGCGCTAGGGCCTTGCAAAGTTAGCTGCAGCAGCTGCAATGTTTCCCGTCCGCAGCAGGCTGTTGTCTGGCGCCCTCTCATCTGTTGCGCTCTCTCGCCTCATACTCTCCTCTCCGCGCTCATTCTCTCGCCTTAGCACAGCCACGTTGGGGAAAAGAGGAAATTGAAATAAGAAAAAAAAATGAGAAAAATATTTTTTCTGGCCTGCCGGCCCATTTTGCACCAGTACTACTATCATATGCGCGTCAAGAACCACGCCATTTTGTTTTCAAAGGCAAAAACTACGCGCAAAATAAAAGAGGGAAGTGGCCGTTTCCCTTAACACGGCATAACATAACATTTAACACGGCATGCAGCACGGCGAAGCATTTTTCCCTGTTCATACGATCTGGTTGATCCACTGCAAGGCGCACCGGCAAATTAGCTTTGTCTTGCGTGTTTCCGCATGAACATCTGGCTGCTGTGACGTCAGCGAGTGGGGAAACACCAAAGAAAATCCTTATATTAGCCGTACACTTCAGTACTGCAGAATGCTGGTGGGTTCAAGTCCAACCCTGAACCCCTAGGCCCCACGGCAGGGTACATTTGAATGACTCTAGACATGGCGATGCCAGTATTTTGCGTGATTGCCCTTTCGAAATGGCTCGTTAAACTGCATTCGTTTACATTTCAGTCGAGCCGCTCAATCTCTTCTGGAAGTTACGAGGTCGAACAGTACGAGAAAAAATTCATGGACACCCTAATACAACGGTCTTTCAGCTGAGAACCTTGCAACAATGGGTTGCAAATATGTTGGTAGAAAACAATGAGAGCAGTGAAAGTATGCTTTCGTCACATTTCATTACGAATGCACGATAGCACCATAACAGAGAAACTGGCATACTTAGATCACCCATAAGACATGCATTGGTTAAAGCCTGCTTCCTAAGTGAGAAAAGCAATGAATAATGAGGTTACGTATAGGAACCATGTGATGAAATTGTGGAAATTGAGTATGACCTACAAGAACGTGCTTCCATTTGTATCTGTAGGAATTTTGGCGATAGCACCATATCTAATCAACGAATCCGATTCTTTTCCATCACTGAGGCTGTCTTCCGCCGATGCCAGATGTACATCGATTGTCTCGGGTTCAAGTGGAACAACAGATTGAAGAATTGGCCGGATGCGGATCGATCATCTACAAATAGACATTAATAGGCAAATATTCTTAGACACACATTAACTCAAAATGGCGATTTTTTTACCGTTTCACTACCATTCCGTTTGTTTCCAACAGCCAGGTGCGTCTGTAGCGCAGACAAAACAATGTTAATTGACGGCTACCCCCACAAATTGGTGGCTCTATGCCAGAAATGATTATCCGGTGTAATTCTAATACTTGTCACTACTGATTACGGCCATCATTTATCGCCAAACAGCTGGCGCTGTAGACTGTCAGTTAGAAGATCGTTAAGGCCGTCGTCACGAGCGTTGTATGGTCTGCACTGCAGACGCACCTCACTGTCAGATACAAAGGATACGTACCGCCACAGCTTGGCAACCTTTTTGGGATAATTATGCCCGATTGAAGGCACACAAATAGTAGACCCACGATGACTATGCTACAATAAACTCGCTACACTTTCACTCTATGCAGTTCTGACTGGCTTAAGTTGCAAAAGCTGGAAGGGTACGTCATTTTTACTTATTCAATTGTGCGTGGTCAGGTCATTTTTACTTATCAGTGGTGCGTGGTCCTAAAAAACAAAATTAGGACGAGATATGGGCATGTACCCTCGCTTTCGATGAAAAGGTGACATCACGTGTGCTCAAAGATGTTCTTGAATCGATGCCACGTTAATGCCACGTCAATTTCTGCAATTGCACAATTTCTGGTCATTTGAAGGCGAGATAAATCGCCAGCTCCTTCAGCTTATTGTCAGCTGAGTTAGGAGCTGTGTCTCTCCGGAGTGCTTATGCTGGCGCTCATATCGTTGGGTTGAGGAGGAGGGGGGATAAAGATTCAAGTGAGCGAGTCAGTCACAGAACTTCTGACCGAGCCTTAAGGAAGGATGGAGGATGTGAGCAATTTTTAGGCTCTCTGGCGTTTCTTCCCTCTCTTGGGTCAGTCCTATTGTCGCGCACCAGTGGTTTTTAAATGCCCTATTTTGGATGGACCTGCTTCAATAGCTGAGCTGGACTAATAGTCTTAAAGCGAGGGAATTATTTTTAGTGAAGAGGGACATCCCCCCCCCCCTCCTTCCCATCCACCTCAGAACTCAAAAAAGGTTGCCAAATTGAGGTGCCAAACTGGCAACCAAGGTGATGAAGATAGGTTTCTGCTTCTCATAAGATACATGGGGGTTGGCAATGGTACTTAAATGCAGTTGAGTAGGAGATTCACTGATATCAGCAAAATTCTAGAATTTGTTTGGTCTTGATTTTTGATATTGATTTTGACAACAATTTCTGGCAAAGCAGTATTACCTCAATTGGATGGCCTGCAAAACGAGATGATTCTAACCATTAGCCACGTGCAACAACAAAACATTGGTGGACTCGCCATTCACAACTGCCTTAGGAAAGCAACGTTCGAAAAGTATACGGTAGGAAGTACAGAATGGAGCTCAAACATTCACATATGCTATAGATTATGCACAAGCTAGGTAGTCACGACGCGAAAAAAAATATCAAATTTTTCGTAACCGATATCGTCAGTTGGTGGATAGGGGTTACGGTAACGAGCTTGCGCTTATGCTCAAGCTCGAGCCCATTCCCGTAGAAAAACATACTTAGGCTTAGGCTTGAGCTTCTTAAAGCAAATCAGAAATATCAAAATCATAGATGGCTTTATTTGGTAGCATCTGATATGCTCATCTCTTCTAGGCTTCAAAAAGCGTTCAAGAGCTTCGCTCGGAAGTTTGCTTTCTATTCAGAAATGGAGCAAAGCAATTCTTCATCAAATTATGTACATTGAGAAAGAGAAATGAGAAACGTCATTCTGTCATTATTCTCGAAAAAGATCGTTTTAACGCATTGACGATTGCGCGGCACGAATATATCCCGCAGTTTCACATGGAGATGACGAGTTTTACGTGACCTAAGCCTCCCTTTTCATGTAGCGAAACGGTCCAAATGCATCATTCGATACGGAAACTAGTATGAAATAGCAAAATCAATACCAACAATGAAATTCTGATAAAGTGATAACTGTTGGATAAAAAGTTGTAAAAAGTAGGTGTAATGTGATAATACACAGTCGTCAATGCGTTAAAACGTTTAAGAGGAAATACTACACTACAGTCTTGCTACTGCAAGATAAAGGGGCATCGAGGCGGGCGATGCAGTCAAGAAAGCCTGCGGTACAGAAACTGCAATCTTCTATTTTGGTAAATCGGGTAAGCACTTAGGAGTCCGAAAGCGGGGGGACTCCAAGGATGCCCCAAAGTTTTGACCTCCGAACTCAGTTCTAAGAGACACCGGCGTATTTTGCGATTGTGGCTCATTTTAATAGATAGCGCATATGGTAGGGAGATAGAAATTTTGAGGAGAAAGCTTATGTTCCAGCTGAGCGGTGAATTCTAAGCAAACTAGACCTTGGGGCTTGACGAAGGATGATCCGAGCTCTCATTTTTCCCGTGTTATGGCCGATTGTGTTCGTTTGACGAATGAACGCAGTCGTGACCGATTATTGTAGGTTTTCTTCAAGCATGGAAATTTCTGCAGAAATGTAATTCTATAGTCCGTCGAACATGCGCAGAACACATAAAATTGTGAGGCATGATTAGTAATCTCAAGAATATTCGCCACAGCTCGGAATATTTGGTAGTCAAGGCGTCGCTTGAGTGCCTGAATGGTCGAGTGAATAGGATTAGGAATGCGCTCAACGGGGCTGAAAGCACTTACCTCATCAATGAGCAATAGATTAATTGCGGCTGGGATGTTGCAAAGCAGCGACATGAACACTGTTCCACCCAACATGTACATTAAAGTGTCATCCTGAAACTTGGGATACCGTAATCTGCGTCCTTTAATTGGCTTACAAATGGTTACAAGGCTTCTGTCAACCAAAGGGTGAGAGTGTAAATGGAATTGAAGGAAATAAAGAGCGGAGATCTGTAATAGTGCGCTTGTGTGAGAGCTCCCAGACAGCACTACAAAACGCTGAAGTTGCCTAGCCTCATGGTTGACAGAAGCCCTGAGAGCCTTTGATGTGAACACCTTGTGAGCTCCCTGTTCCTTTCTTTTCGTCAGCTGTTGAAACATTTTCTGACGTTTTCGAAAGGCGATGATGATTTGAATATTGAGAATGGATAGTACTATGATCGGCAGAAACCTCAGAATAGTTTCTCGTGTCCATTTGTAGATCTGAAAAAAAACTTGGCTTAGTTCCAAATGCAGGGCAAAACGGACTTAAAGTTCCAGTACCTGCCACGAAACGGTCCTGTACACTTGATGATCATCAATTCTGTATATGATAGCGTTAACATTTTCATCCCATTTTTCGATGCTTTTGTATCGTGTGATTGCATATGGCACGTACAATAGTGCAGGTACAGTAAAGGCAACAATAATTGCGTTCAATGCACGTTTCGGTGAATTCCATGCACGAAATTGCATAGGAAATACGATAGAAATATATCGTTCCAGTGATAGCGCCACCACAACGTATACACCAGCTCCAAGTGCCCAGTTTATAAGTGTGAGCATGAAGTGGCATTGGTAGATTTGGTACAATTTGTACTGATTTATTGGTGAGCCATTCTTTGTGAGGATCTCTGTTGTGACGAATACCAACACAAATATCATGCATAACAAGTCCGCTACTGCCAACGCTCTAAGGTACATATAAGAAACAGCTCGCAGTCGACGACTAGCCAATACAATTAAATTGGTGATATTGCCTGGAAAAATCAAATATTTAACAAATTTTGCTGAAATTGATCCGGGGTCTCATCCAGTAGGAGGGGGAAGGGGCTTTGCGGTGTGAAGGGCTCAACACTTGAAGCAGGTGGGGTAACGGTGATTGATAATGATGGGTTGGAAAGGGCGTGTCTGGACGAGTTATTTAAACGCAGCAGTTCAATGCGGCTACTGTATCTACCTACCTATCAGCTACCTTATCCGCCGCGTAGGCCGGGAGCTGTAGCGATTTGTATCTCGTCCATAATTCCACATTGGGCGCTATCAGATCTTTTTGTAAGGCCCTAGCGATACTGTCGTCACTTCGAGCCTCGACAACCGCACACCTGTGACACTCGTGGGCTACTCTATCCCTCCCGCAGAAGGATTTCCTTTACACGATTTATCTGTGTCTTTAAAGCCACGGAAAGATCCTAGATTGTAGTTTGAGGCGCTGAGCCTCAAGACCCTCGACGAGACCCCCTATGCCGTTTAAGACCCCCTTTCCCTTCCCGTCCCTGAGTTAGTACCTAGCTGGCCCATCAAATGAATTTACTTTTCCTAGACGTTTATGTTATCCAGCACAAACTCACGTGCAATATGCCAAAAAAAACCGGAAGAAATGACGCAGGAATTAAGCTGATAGCAGCTCGTAACTTTAAAGGAACTCCTTGAGCCAAATTGGCCGTTAGAGCAGCCTGTGCACCGCAATGCCCCCTCTTAGTGGATGAGACCGCTGATCCAATTTTACTGCATACCTATAATTCCCACCGCGCACACCACTGGCAGTACATAACAGTAGGCAATATTGGCCACAGTTGCTGCGCCGCTCACCGATGTTGAGTTCATAATTCTAAAAAATTGCTAAAAAAATCAACGTAAATAGAATACGTCACAGATTAGTGGCAAATAGAGGCATAAAAATTATGATCAATGAAAATTGAGGTCAAAATTGAAAAGTATTCACCCGAAGACGACTTCAGTGACCAATGGCCTACAGTACACAATCTAACTAGTTAGCTTGCATGTAACTCGAAAGCACGGGATGTGGAGTGTGGCGTCGAAATCGCGAGACTTGTGCAACCGGAAGGAAGCGAGCCTACTGCGCTCGTTAAAGAGTCCCGCTTGCATCAACTGCTCTTTATGAAATCTTGCACATAATCCACACAGAGTGGAATTTACTGAAGAACCATGACTACAAAAGGTAGCTGCTCTACTAGTAAAGGTTTAAAAGTATATGATAGCCAGGTTATTGCCTGTCGGTTTGGCATAACTTGGTCAATAACTAGTAAAAATGTACTCGTAAAAATTGGGCACGTAAGAAAACAGCACATGCAGGCCAGTGTGAGCTAAAAGGGTACTTTTGAAGTAAAAAGGTACCAGAGGGCTTGGATAGCTTTTTTTGGAGGCGAAAAAATAAAATATTAAATAGTCCGGGTCGACGTCGGCCCGAAGTCCGCAAAAGGCAACGCGATTAGCGTTGCTTATATTAGGTCGGTCAAAAAGCTCGTGCCGTTGCATCTCGAGCAACTTCCTGCGTATTTTGGTGGTCCACCCGCAATTATTTATCTAGGCTGGTATCTGCTTTTTCTTTTGCATGTGAAAGTGAAAAAATTTGTGCACGAGAAACTGCGGAAACGGTAACGGTGTCGGCCCCTTTTGCACGATGGTACCACATGGCACATTTCCAAGTGCATCCCATGAAAAATATTAAGAGGGCTTTGAAATTCGGCGCAATGTGCCTCCGGGGGGGGGGGCAGGTCTGTCGGAAGGCCTCTAGGACTGAGCCTAAGGCAGAGTGACGAATTTTGGAGCGAATG